CAATCCACCTCCATCACTGTTTTTTTATTTCTAATTTTACATCTTCTGTCATTTGTTGTCATCTAGAATTCCATGCGAACCCCAACAATCTTGTGAGAAGTCTTCCTTCAAAACCTCTGATCAAACTCTCTATCTTTCTGTCTGTTTTCCAAGCTTCTGCTCCATAGAGGAGAACTGTTCTAACGCATATTTTATATATCATGAGTTTAGTATTAGTGTAGTATATGTTTAATCTCCAGACACTTTGAAGTCTGTTGTAAGCAGCACTTGCCTTTGCAATTCTCTGCTTGATTTCAACCATTACAATTCCATCCGATAAGATATTGCTCCCCAGGTAAGTGAAGTCAGTTGCTGTTTCCAAACCTACATTATCTATTACTATAGATCTTTAACATTTGGGGTTTATCTCCAGCAGTTTTCTTTTATTGACACTGATTCTGACAAATGTACAGCTTATAAGAATCATGTCACTAGTCAAGCAACTAGCTTGCTTTTTTGTCAGTTTTCAAGAAAATTACTACAATAAACAGCATACAAACATTAAATGGGATGAATTCAAGAGAGGCAAAGACATAAGAGAAAGGTCTGGGTACCACTAGTATCAACAGTTCTTAAAAAAAAAAAAAAGGCAGATACTAGGCACATCATGAAGAGAAGCAAACAGAGGATCACCAAACAATCACTGAATCTGGAAACACATGGACTCAGGAAATGAAGTAATCCCAGAAAAACCCTCGGCAAAGCACAGGTGAAGGAGGCCAGAGATGCTGGATTGGATCCCATCCATGATATCAAAATAACTGCACAGAGAGAACAGAATGGAGGACTGCAATCCATATGTGACACATAACCACTACTACTACTACTACCACTTTTTTTTTCTTCCTCCTCATGCTGCTGCTTCTTTTTGTTCTTGTTCTTCTTCCGCTTCTCCTACTTCTTCTTTTCTCCTTCTTCTCCCCCTCATTATTCTTCTCCTCATTCTTCTTCTTCTTCTTTTTCTCCTCATTCTTCTTCTTCCTCTTCTTCTCCTCCTCCTTCTTCTTCTTCTGCTTCTTATTCTTCATTTTCTTATTCTTCAAGAGTCAAAATGACTGCAAAGAGAGAACAGAATGGAGGACTGGAAGCCCTATGTGACACATAACCGTACAACCAGATGATGATGATAAATACAACATTCAGGAGCCTGGGTTCATTTTAAAACTGCTTGCATGAACATTTCACTCATGTCACAACTGAGCACTGAACTTTAGACTGCTGTAATGGTAGGCAAGAAAACTAAAAACTACACTACAAGAAAGGTAATTCTAGCCACTTGGTAAAACTAAAACAGCATGCAAACACAAAAACAAAACTAGACACAAAGAAACAATCCATCACCCAAAACACACAAAAACATAGCTAGACACAAAGAAACAATCCATTCCCCCAGAAAAAACATTTCACACTAAATGAATGTACATGATAGACTAGCACATGCTGTTTGATTACACATTGCTATATATAAACTATTCACTACAAGAAGGTAGTTTATTTCAAATCTGTCAGTGCAGCTGTTACCTAAATTACACGTTGAAATGTCAAATCATGTTACATCCTAGGTCAGTTATAAGCCTGTTGATAGAACATATCAATATCAGTGATAATCCATAAGATTAATTCTATCTCTTCCTTTCTTTTTTTCCTCTTCTCCCTCTCATTGTGGGTTCAAATCCAAATGGAGCAGGAATTTAAACAACAACAAAATTACCTAGGCCCCCAGCTCGACCCAGCCTTAAATGAGTACCAGGTAAAGTACTGGGAAGTAAAAGTGGCTGGCATCATGTTGACCATATCACCTGACTGGTCTTGAAAGATTTAGGTCTAGCCCTATATGCCCAATACCCCTGAAGGTGTGGAAAAGAGTCATTTCCTTTTACTTCTAATTGCCCTCCCTCTCTGTCTCTTTCTCACATAAATGCACTAAATACACTCTTAATCTGGTTTGGATATGTATCAAGACTATCAACAGATGGTGCACCACAGTCACAGATGTAATGGAGGCAAAGTCACAGGCCTACCAAACAAGCATCGGATAGATAACACTGCCAGGGCTCACACCCTATGCCTCTTTAAAGCCTGATGTTTAAATGTAGATAAGGACTGGATGAAAAGAAGAAGAAAAAGAATCTGGAGGAGGAAGAAGAAGAAGAAGAAGAAGAAGAAGAAGAAGAAGAAGAAGAAGAAGAAGAAGAAGAAGAAGAAGAAGAAGAAGAAGAAGAAGCAGCAGCAGAGGGATCTGTAAGAAGAAGAATTTTAGGGAAGAAGGAGGAGGAGGAGAAGAAGAAGAATTTGTCATTCTCAAGCCAAGGGGACAACCAATGCAGCTTTGAACTGCACTTAAGAAACCTCCCAAGAGACTTTAACTGGAAAGAGCCTCACAAAACCATCAGTGTGTGTGGTTCTGTTTGCAGTGAACTATAAATTTACTTGGTCCCTAATAAGACAACACTGCTCAAGAGAGAAATGCAGGTAGGGTGCTAGTTTCTCAAAGAAAAAACTGATTTAACAACATAAAGGTGGACTCTTCATTACCACAATAAGTAATAGAAAACATCTTCGGAAAACATGTTGAATATTTTCATTCAGCAAGTAATAGAAAAACCTCTTGAATATTATATCTGCAGGTAAAAGAAAACATACTGAGTAGTATAATATCAGTAAGTAATATAAAAACTCTTGAGTACTTTCAGCAAGTAGCATAAAGCATTTAAGTACTAACATTTTAGCAAGTAATAGAAAACATCTCCAGCATTCCCATATCTATGATGCTTAAAAAGAAGCCCCTGACAGAGAAGGAAAAGTAGGTGTGGTTCAGTATTAGCTGCTGCTAGCACCTTGAGTGCTGTCAGACCTTTCCTGGCTCTAAGTATGACGTTGTCTACAGATACTTGTAGGACAAGCACCTGTCAAATCTGGTAATCCTAGTTTCAGCTTCATAGCAAACGGGTCACCCCATAGTTGCTCCGCTCCTGTGCCAACGAAAAAACATACGTAGCTCACAGTGTCACGCCATGCACTCAACTCAGAAGCTAGGCGATGAAACTATATCCTTCCAGTCTATAAATGGAGCAAAAATTCAACAGCCACCGTCTGGCAGAAGCAAAAAAACAAAAGTTGGCCATGCCTAGCGTCCATTTTGACCTGAAGCATTATATGAGGGTTAATAAACAGTCACCCCAGCAGTACCCTCCCTATTAGCTGGGGAAGGGACTTAGGACATTACATCCACCAGCAGTCATCGCCCCTACAACAACCTGCCTGCCTTCGTTAACGACTGTTCACCCAACAGCCATGCAGTTCTTTGGCACGAAGGAGACACCTTGAACTTGGGTTTCGGACTGCCGACTCCCTACAAGATATTTTATGTTTTGTTATCCTCTTACTTAGTAGGGAGTATTTTATCCTGTCCGTTTTCTTGACATCTATACCACACATGCTTACGACTGGTGTAGGTCTACTGACAATGTGGGTATTCAGACAGAACCATGTTTAAGAAGCCTTAATGTCTTTGATGAAGCTTTTGATGTCAAAACTTTAAATCTACACATGTCAACAGTGTAAACCTACTGACGTCAAAGTACAGGCCAGAACTTATCACGATAGAGTTACTTCCCATCCCATTCATGCAGCAGAAGGTCATTTGGCCTGACCTATGTTGTGAAAGGGGTGGGGGTGGGGGGGGGGGGGGGGGGGGGGTTATGATATGGCTTCATTTGGCGTTCGCTCGTCATGTACTATGTTTGCGGGAGGTTGTGTTGTCGTAAGTCTCTTTGGAGCACTGCAGCACCTCTGTCCAAGTAGGAAGTACTGCAGGAGGAAATGCCGCAGGTGTGATCGCTTGTATCGAAACTAGGATGTTTCTGTATTTCTATGCTTCTTACACCTCAGAAAAAGAAGCGACTGCCAAGTAAATTAGAAATATAAAAACATCCCAGTTTTGCTACTCACGAATCATAATCCCTCAAGTGAGCGGTGACAACATGATAAAAGAGAGAATGGTTGAACCATTGAAAATAAGGAATACATGACACCCCACAACATACGATTGGCCGTGTGACCGGCCGCGGAATGAATAGGATGGGAAGTAACTCTCACCGCGTGGACAATTTCATGATAAGAACCTACAAACCTACTGATGTTAAAAGTATAAACATACCCATGTCAACAGTTTAAATGTACTGACACCAAAAGTATAACCCCCTGATATCAAAGTACAAATCTACTGCTGTCAAAAGTACAGACCTCTTGACAACAGATTTATAAACCTACTCATGTCAAAATTATAAGTCTATTGATGTAAAAAGTATAATCTCTTAAAAAGTAAAATGTTCACAGATGTAAACTGTAAAACAAAAACACAAGCATAGTCAAAATGTAACCATAAATAATTCTGGAATACATGCAAAGGAAAAAGTAAAATGGGCAATAATTTAACCATAAATAATCCTGGAATACATGCAAAGAAAAAAGTGAAAAGGGCAATAATTTTATTATAAATAATTCTGGAATATACGTACAGGAAAAACTGAAATAGGCAACAATTCTACTGGTAGACTTCAACCTGGCTGCTTCCAGATACGAAGATAAGTGATATTGTGTTTTTGTGAAGTATTGTCTAATTTATGTATGTGCTGATGAAGGCTCCATAGCCGCAACATTTACATTTTGTTTGTGTTTGTTATACTGTGAAGCTCGCTGATATACTTTTTTGTTTGGGTTTATATCTCTCCTCAACAATTTAAGCATTCAGATTCATGACTGCCCTGGTACTATCCACCACAACCGGCCACACCGAAACGTTACAACGGGTATAGAGCGAGTGGAAGACCTCGGAAAATATACAGAAATGAACATCAGTCTTAACAGTGCTCTTGACAGAGCTCATCAACGAACCTTACATCTACCCCGACACTTCGATGAGGTAAAAGGTGGAAGAGAAGAAGAAGAAGATTCATGACAAATATGTGTGTATCTTTCTCACCTCTGCTCTGACCGCTTTCAGTATAGTGTAGGGAGCAAACCCTATCTCGCCTTTGTAGTTACGTAGTTTCCACCAATTCTTGCTGCTGTCCAGCACCTGTTGAGATACCACACATAAAACATATATATATACTTAAGAAAGACGGATAATATAACTGAAATTTATATGGTAAATTCAGGATATAAAACTTCTTTTGGCAGCCTCAGTATCTTACTGAAAACAGGACAACATGTCTCTGTGTAGTCAAGGATATCAAGTTTTCTGCGATAACATGACAGAATGTCTCTGTGAAATTAAGGATATCCCACATCTGGCATTGGGTGGGGTGGGGGGACATGCCAAAATGTCTCTGCAAAGCAAGGATATCAGACAACACTGAGGGGACATGACATCATGTCTCGGTGCAGCCAAGGATATGAGACAACACTGAGGGGACATGACATCATGTCTCCGTGCAGCCAAGGATATCAGACAACACTGAGGGGACATGACATCATGTCTCCGTGCAGCCAAGGATATCAGACAACACTGAGGGGACATGACATCATGTCTCCGTGCAGCCAAGGATATGAGACAACACTGAGGGGACATGACATCATGTCTCCGTGCAGCCAAGGATATCAGACAACACTGAGGGGACATGACATCATGTCTCCGTGCGGTTAAGGATATCAGACAACACTGAGGGGACATGACATCATATCTCCGTGCAGCCAAGGATATGAGACAACACTGAGGGGACATGACATCATGTCTCTGTGCGGTTAAGGATATCAGACAACACTGAGGGGACATGACATCATGTCTCCGTGCGGTTAAGGATATCAGACAACACTGAGGGGACATGACATCATGTCTCCGTGCAGCCAAGGATATCAGACAACACTGAGGGGACATGACATCATGTCTCGGTGCAGTCAAGGATATGAGGTATCTGTCTGAGAACATATGCAGCTGCTGAACTGTTGTAATTGCTACTTCCAGAATAATGAACTGCAATTCTAGTAGCAGAATGTTTGTCCTGGCACTTCTGACAGCTGCTTTATGCATTTAGTGCATGTGGATGCTACTTGATTAGCTCTGCTAAAATCAGTCTGCTTCAATTTCTTTTTCTTTTGTCCCCACAAGAAGTGGTGATGGCTATTCTATGGGGTTTTTGCAGGTACAAAAACAGAAACTATGGGGTGACCCATTTGCTGTGAAGCTGGAGCTGTGGTTAACTGATTAACTTACTGACTGTGTAGTCAAGTATGTCAGGCATCTCTGGGACAGCAGGGAATAGTGCCTTTTTGTATTCAAGGATATCAGGCATCTCTGGGAAAGCAGGAAGAGTGCCTTTTTGTATTCAAGGATATCAGGCATCTCTGGGAAAGCAGGAAGAGTGCCTTTTTGTATTCAAGGATATCAGGCATCTCTGGGAAAGCAGGGAATAGTGCCTTTTTGTATTCAAGGATATCAGGCATCTCTGGGAAAGCAGGGAATAGTGCCTTTTTGTATTCAAGGATATCAGGCATATCTGGGAAAGCAGGGAAGAGTGCCTTTTTGTATTCAAGGATATCAGACATTTCTGGGAAAGCAGGAAGAGTGCCTTTTTGTATTCAAGGATATCAGGCATTTCCGGGGGAACATGATAGAATAACTGTATTTAGTCAGAGATAACAGGCATCTCTGGAGGAACATGATAGAATGTCTGTATATAAAGGATATCAGGCATCTCTGGAGGAACATGATAGAATGTCTGTTTGTAAAGGATATCAGGCATCTCTGGAGGAACATGATAGAATGTTTGTTTGTAAAGGATATCAGGCATCTCTCTTTGAACTAAATCTAATCACAGACAGCAGATATCACTGGTGGGAACATCGTAGAATGCTCTATGTGGTCAAAGATATCAGGTGTCTCTATGGGATCATAGTAAAACATTTCTATGTGGTCAAGGATATCAGGCATTTCTCGGGAAAGATAGAAGAATGATTTTATTTAGACAAGGATAGCACCTTTAGACTAGGTTTCTGGGGAAACATGGAAAAACGCTCTTAAGTAGACAAGGATATCATGCATTTCTCAGGAAAGAATGTCTTTATTTTCATCAGAGAATGTGGTAGAATGACTTCATGTAGACAAGGATATCAGGAATTTCATGGGGGAACGTGGTTGAATGACTTCATGTAGACAAGGATATCAGGAATTTCATGGGGGAACGTGGTTGAATGACTTCACGTAGACATGGATATCAGGCATTTCATTAGTGAACATGGTAGAATTCATGTAGACAAGGATATCTGGCATTTCTTTGGGGAACATGGTAGAATGACTTCATGTAGACAAGGATATCTGGCATTTCTTTGGGGAACATGGTAGAATGACTTCATGTAGACAAGGATATCTGGCATTTCTTTGGGGAACATGGTAGAATGACTTCATGTAGACAAGGATATCAGGCATTTCTCAGGGAAGAAGAAAGAATGTCTATATTTTTTTCTGGGAATGTGGTAGAAGGACTTCATGTAGACAAGGATATCAGGCATTTTATGGGGGAACATGGTTGAATGACTTCATGCAGTCAAGGATATCAGACATTTCTTTGGGAATGTGTTAGAATGACTTCATGTAGACAAGGATATCAGGCATTTCTCAGGGAAGAAGAAAGAATGTCTTTATTTAGACAATGATTTCAGGGAAAACATGGAAGAAGTGAATGTCTTTATGCAGACAAGGATATCAGGTATTTCATGGGGGAACATGGCAGAATGGCTTTATGTAGACAAGCAAATCAGGCATTTCTAGGGGAAGAAAGTAGAATGGTCAAGTGATTCGTTCGGGATGAGACCGCACTCTTTTACAATTGTTGTGCCATGTGTGAAAGTTAAGAGTTGGTAAACAGCCTTCCAAAGAACGGGATGTTGAAGATAATGAAACTTGTTCACTAACCTCAAACCCACAGCACCAGCAATAATATTCTATGTATCTTTATATGTATTTATGTATTCTATAAGGCTCTGCTGCAGCAGCAAAAAGTACATAAAAGTTAGTTGCTTATCCTTTACAGGATTTTGCAGTACCAACTCCAGCAATTTTTGGCTGTTATGATTTTTTCTAGAGAAATTATACGTTCAATAGTTTGCCGTTGCTTTATGAATGGTCAACTCTCGGTAGCACTGTCGAAACCAATGCAATTTGTTCTTCTGCCCAACTGCCTGCAGCTGGGATCGAACCCAGCACCCCAGCACTAGGAAGCATGTACATTCATAAGTCAAATACCACATCATCATCATCATTAAGGGCCTTGTCCGCTGGCGTAGGCGTTCATGCAGCTCCATAGGTCTCAGTCTTTGGTTTTCTGGATCAATTCTCTTGATGATATTCTGCCAGGCCACTGTCTTAAGCCGTCTACTATCATTTCACTTGGTCTGCCTCTGCCTCTTCTACCAGTGATCTTTCCAGTTTTTACGATATTTTCCAGTGCTCCTTTTCTCACCACATGAAAGAACTTCGTCTTTGTCTTATTGTTGTATATAATATTCTTGATGCGTTAGCCATTTTCCAGGCAATCATTGTTAGTTGTTTTGGTAGTCCAAAGTATTCGCAACATTCTTTTCAAGAACCAGAAATACCACATACCTGCACAATATCACCTCTCTGCACAGTCAGTTCTTTGGCATTCTTGCCTACTCTATCATGAGCTGCTTCATAAATTCTGTGTAAATTATAACACGAAGTAAAAGTAAAGGACATGTTTAATGCATCTGCATATCAGGTATGTCAGCAAAAATGCATAAATATCACAGCTGTGCTGTAAAAGGCACCTAAAATAACATCCTTCAAATAATTAAAAAATTACTTAACTTATTAACTGTGTCACCAAATTTATAATTTTATTTAAAAACCTATTTCAAGTCTTTGTTTTGAAAAAAGGTTAAATTTGGGGGGTGGGGGGGGGGGGGGGGTGGGGGGGGGGGGGGGGGGGGTGAAGGCAAGTAATCACCAATCATCCCAGACTGTGCACCCATATGCAAATTATTCCCTCTTATTTTCCACGCCATGTTGCACTGGTAGCCATGCCTACTCTTAACATTCGGTCACGTGTACTTTCATTCGATTCCGACAAAGAAGATCTTCAAATTGTCCTGCATCTTCTCTTTTGGTCTTCCTCTGCCTCTCCTCCAACTTTCCCCAGAGAATTCTCTCTCCTCTTAATGACAAAGAAAGATTCTATAGACTACTCTTCATTTTGTAAAAAGTTACCTCTGCTTGAGCTATTTTCATTTAACTTCTTCAATACATCTTCCATCGGTTGTTATACCATCGGTATTTTAACTCTTCGCTTGCTGCTAAAGATGGGGACAGAGCGCTTATGGGAGTGTCCCGAGTGCTGTGATGTCGATTCTTAATTCAACATTCATTCCATTAGCTGTTATAAGGGTACCTTAGTACTTCAACATATATACTGATACAAAGTTAGGATGCAGATTTACCAGCGCAAATACCAGAAACCCAGAAGAAAAAAGAAGAAAACTGAATGCAATGAATCAAGGTTGTGGAGGGACATCATCATTTGTGTCATCTTGAAGAAGTAGCTAGAAACATAGCTAAATATTTCAAACAAATGCAGTCTGTGACCTACATTATTGTAGAGAAATGGTGGATGGCACATAAAACATGAAACACTGGGCACTGAGCAATTTAGTGACTCAACATTGCTGATAATTTGAAGATCTGGTTTTTCAACTATCTCATTTCCACAGCCATAAAACTGTGATGTGATTAAACATGCACTTATACAGGCAGCCATCGGGTGTTGCTAGTCACACTCGTCATCGCCACTTACTGTGATTCTTATGCCTGCCCCTGATCATTCCTTCATTGACGTGTTGTGCCATTCTATGTCACACAGGGCTCACAGTCTATTCCTCCATTCCATTCTATGTCACACAGGGCTCACAGTCTATTCTTCCATTCCATTCTATGTCACACAGGGCTCACAGTCTATTCCTCCATTCCATTCTATACCGTGCAGTCTCTCAGATATGAATGGAATCCAGTCCAGAACCCTTGGCCTCTTTCATCAACATCTGTTTTATGGTTTCTTGTGAACGTCCTCATTTCTTCAACCCCTTTAAATCCCATTTTAGTGACTGGTAATTTTCTGCTCATTTCTTTTAAAGATGTGTCCAATATAATGTCATCTTCTCTGTTGTTATCAGACATTTCTCTTATTTCTTCACTTCTTTTCAACCCGTCACATTTTATGTTCAACATTTTTCTCAGGCATATGTTTTAAAATGAGCAGCGCCCGTGGCTTAGGCTTGCGAGTCCGACTCATAATTCCAACATACCGCGATCGAAACCCACTCCTGGCTGCATGTAATTTTATCATGGTAAAGGGCGTCGCAGGTCGAACCGGCCTCAAATGAGTACCAGGATGTATGTCATGGAGAAGTAAAGACGCCTGGTGTAATGCTGACCATATTAGGTCGAACCGGCCTCAAATGAGTACCAGGATGTATGTCGTGGAGAAGTAAAGACGCCTGGTGTAATGCTGACCATATTAGGTCGAACCGGCCTCAAATGAGTACCAGGATGTATGTCGTGGAGAAGTAAAGACGCCTGGTGTAATGCTGACCATATTAGGTCGAACCGGCCTCAAATGAGTACCAGGATGTATGTCGTGGAGAAGTAAAGACGCCTGGTGTAATGCTGACCATATTAGGTCGAACCGGCCTCAAATGAGTACCAGGATGTATGTCGTGGAGAAGTAAAGACGCCTGGTGTAATGCTGACCATATTAGGTCGAACCGGCCTCAAATGAGTACCAGGATGTATGTCGTGGAGAAGTAAAGACGCCTGGTGTAATGCTGACCATATTAGGTCGAACCGGCCTCAAATGAGTACCAGGATGTATGTCGTGGAGAAGTAAAGACGCCTGGTGTAATGCTGACCATATTAGGTCGAACCGGCCTCAAATGAGTACCAGGATGTATGTCATGGAGAAGTAAAGACGCCTGGTGTAATGCTGACCATATTAGGTCGAACCGGCCTCAAATGAGTACCAGGATGTATGTCGTGGAGAAGTAAAGACGCCTGGTGTAATGCTGACCATATTAGGTCGAACCGGCCTCAAATGAGTACCAGGATGTATGTCGTGGAGAAGTAAAGACGCCTGGTGTAATGCTGACCATATTAGGTCGAACCGGCCTCAAATGAGTACCAGGATGTATGTCGTGGAGAAGTAAAGACGCCTGGTGTAATGCTGACCATATTAGGTCGAACCGGCCTCAAATGAGTACCAGGATGTATGTCGTGGAGAAGTAAAGACGCCTGGTGTAATGCTGACCATATTAGGTCGAACCGGCCTCAAATGAGTACCAGGATGTATGTCGTGGAGAAGTAAAGACGCCTGGCGTAATGCTGACCATATTAGTCACTTGGTGCCAATTGGTTTGTAAAAATATAGGTGCTTTTCCCATATGCCCGATGCGCATAAATGTGTGAAAAGGGATCTTGACAGAAAAAAATATGTTTTTAAATGCACATTAATTTGATATCTTTAGTGGTTCTCCATCTTTCACAAGCATATGTTTAAACTGATATAACATTATAGCACAGAATACTACAATCTGGAAAGATGGAAAGGTGCCAAGGAGAATGACAGTAGCCATTTTTCTGACTCGGCTAGTTTATAGACACCTGACATGACACAGCCCTGTGCTTACATGGAATCATCCATGCGTTTGAGCTCATCCAGGTAGGCAGCATTGTCATCTTGCCTGGACATACCTCCAGGGGGAAGGTGGTTCCTCTCAGTATTCTTGGAGACATCCTGCCGAATCAGTCTGTTGGTGCGAAACAGGGATAACAATTAAACATATAGATACTTCATTACCAAACACAGCAACTTGTCATGTCAGGCTATAAAGTCCAGTGAATGAATGAATAAATAAAAGGTTAAAGGTTAAAGTTAAGAAGATCACCATGTCATGTCATGTTATAAGGTCCCGTGAATGAATGAATAAATAAAAGGGTTAAAGTTAAGAAGATCACCTTCATTGCACCAGATTTTATCCCATCTATCTCCACAGAATAGCTAACCGCCTGCCGAGAGTGTCACACAAAGAATGAACACTATAGTTCTAAAGATGATCCCCAGGGGTCTCAGTAACAATTGAACTCATAAACCAAATGACGCAGCCGTGAAGAGGTAAAACCACATCCTTCTGAGGCATGAGGCAAATGGCTTGACCACTTTGCCAAGGAATCCATGAATGAATGAATAACTGATAGCATTCTGCTCAGGACACTCTTTTGAGATGCTCCATCTACTTGTTGAGTAGAGCTCCCATCCTAACTTTGGTAGTGGCAGCCTGGTTAAAAGTGTATTTAGCTTTTTACAAAGGTCGGGCGGTACTACCCTCCAGCCATCTGAAAGCTGCCACTAATGTGTCAACTGTAACTTTATATGTGAGTCACCTTCCTACCTTTCAACTCACCCATTCACATTTCATCTTCCTGCTCTGTTCCCTCCAATTAATCCCATGCTTGGTAACCCCTCTCTCCAACCCTTCATGCCCACAGATCAGATTTCACCTTTTGCTTCCTCATTCCTCTATACAAGTGAAACCTGTTTCATTTCTGTCCTTTATCAAATTCAGACTGGTCCAGGTAAGTATCACGTATTTTAGCCTACTCATATTTCCTCAATCATGCTAACTCATTCAGTACTAAGTAACTCATCTTGTATTTATAAGAAGATCATATTTATTAGAAGATTGAGGCCTGGCCTCATGACCCAGGTCAGCCCACCTTCCAAAATTGTATAGGGAGAAACGGGCCGAAACAATCGTTGAGGAAGGATCTTTCTACTGATAATTGGTGGACCCCTGCTGTGCATGCTACCCTGTGAAGTTCTTCTTACCTGTACTCTTATTATATTTTTTTCATTTCTTTATATCGTCCTGTGTCCTATCCAAGTTTAACACTCACCCACTTTATCCAATTGCAACAGTAAGTTATTCTTTTCAATATGTCTATTATTTGAACTCCTTCATACGTAACAGTGATTAGTTTAAAATAAAAATTTTTTTTTATGAGTTAGGTTGTTTTTACGGTACTGTGGACACTGTTTCATAAAGAATAAATTAACTCCTTCAGTCCCAAGGCACACATCATGTGTTCACAGGTTCCTACTCAGAAGCCCAAAGAACACAAGATGGCTGACTATATGTTTCTCTGTACTAACCCTTGGGCCCCTGAAGCTAAACCCCCTGGGAGGTATAATACTGTGGTACTGAAAGAGTTAATAAATCAAGTTTTTAAAGTACCTTTACCTGTTATAAGGCTGTGAGAAATCAGAAGAAATAGGACTATCCCGGCTCAACCTTGCGGGGGACCTCTCATGAGACTGAGCCTCAAATCGTGAAGACTCATAATTCAGACCAGACTCAAAAGCCCGGGGTGTGGAAGGAATATTTACTGCTTCAAATCCCCTGGAGTCAAATTCCCGAGAGTTGGGTCTGTACGCTCGATTGAAGTCATCGTTACGATGGAATATGTCCCCGACAGGACCATCATCATCAGGGAAAGGTATGGGCCTCTGTGGCATCACCTGCTCAACAGAAATCAGAAGAATTAGAATCATTTCTAAAACATACTTTAGAGGATCTAGAATAATATAATATAACATAAAATAATATAATATGATACTATAGTATGACCACCATCTGCACAAAGCTCTTGGTGCAGTTAAGGGTCAGCGGCTGATAAGAGGGAGGTCATGGATGGCTCAGGCAGAAGACACAATCAGACAGGTTTGCATCCTTGAGAACATTAGGCGAGGAGAGGAGTGGGTCAAAAGTGCCACCTGAACAGTCAGACTTGTGTAGAGTCATAATCACGCTGAGCCGAGAATGCAGAGACTGGCCAGCAGGTGCCACGGAGGCAATGAATTCAAGATAATGCTCGCTCAGAGGATTTGATCATTTACACAGACGGTTCAGTGTCAAGAGGCAAAAGAAGTGCTTGTGGTTTCTTAGCAAAAGTTAATGGTCGACGTTTGGTGCAGGAGAGCCTAGCATATGATACCACAACATCGAGCTTAAGAATGGGGGTGGAGGCAGTCACTGCAGCTTTCTGTTGGCTAGAGAACACGACACACACACACATCGTGATTGTAACTGACTCAGAAAGCATGCTGAGGAAGATCAAAATAGGTATGCTTCCTGCAGAGTGGCATGCTTCGCTGCGGAGGACATGGGTGAGGAGTATTGTCTGGATTTTTTCACCAGAGTACGCCGGTGTGTTCGGAAATGAACAGGCGGACAGACTGGCTGGCTCTGCACAACTTGGTGGAATACTGATGCATGATAGGGCAGACATGGTTAGTGCCTTGTAGAAAAGCGTGTACAATTCGGAGGAGCAGATGGATCACCAGTCTGGTGAGATTGATGCAGTTGGGAGTGACGAGAGGTTCTGGCAGAAGCTCAAGGCTCAGAGGAAAGGCAAGACGGATGTTTAATCAGAATGCTACTGGCACCTTTAGTATCGGAACTCTTCGCTCGCTGCTGAAGATGGGGATGGAGCACTTATGGGAATGCTTTCGAGTGCTGTGATGTCGGTTCTTGAATCAAATCAAATCAAATCAATATGATACGATACAATACAATATATAATATAATAAAATATAAAGTAAAGGAAGTGTTTCCACGCTGTATTTAACAGCACGTATCAGTTTATGTGCTGATGCCCCTCCATGCCATGGCAAAAATGTTGAAAATATTCTCATGGTTGTCTTCCGCTGCCTTTTCTCCCCCAGATCTTTCCAGTGGTCACACATGATCCAGTTCCCTTCTTCTCATAACATGACCCCCAAAAAAATTCATGACTGTCTCCTTCTGCTGTTTGTGATAAGTTGTCTTTTAGCCCTGCCTCTTTCAATAAATCTGGGTTACTTCTTTTTGTTGTTGTTGTTCAAGGAACTCTAAGGATTTTTCTGTAAAACCACATCTTTGAAGCCCCAACAAATTCCTTAGCTTGTTAATTAATTGTTTAATGTCTAATACAACACATCAACTTCTCTTTCAACAACAAAATATGAAACATCAGAGAAGTTGTTACTTACATGTCCTCTGTCCCTGACATCAATTATAGATGGCGTCCGTGCTGGCTCAATCATAGGAAGAGGCGCGGCAATGATGTTAGGCTGTGCCATGATGGCTGACCTCGATGAAAGGTCATCCAGACCTGCAGCTGGCTGCCATCCATCGTAAAACTCTGGCACGTACGGAGGAATTGGCCCTTGCCACTCATCTCTGCAATCAAAATACATTTACTTGAAATAGTCTTTCACATATATATTTTTTTTTTTTTCTAGGCACATTATAGATATAAAATTAAAAAGTAAAGGACCCTTTCAACACCAGGTGCCATATGATACTAGACTTATATTTTTTATAGACCGACTGGAACTCGGTGGCTGATGTGGTCAGCATCATGATGACCAGCTTTACTTCCCAAGACATTACCTAGTACCTATTTTAGGCTGGGTCAACCTGGAAACCGAGGTCAGTTTTAAAAAAAAAGGGGGGGGGGGGGGGGGGGGGGGGGGGGGAAATTGTGTTACAGATTATGTTGAGTTGAGTTGCATCACTAGCCAAATGACTAATGTTTCACAAAAATTTTCGTTTTAATTGCTGGTAAATGGTCCTATGTTTAACAAAATTTTTGAGTTTAATAGCTGGCAAATGGTTCAATGTTTAAAAATTACGGTTTTGTAAAATTTTATTACTAAACAATCATGTTTATTTGAATCACAGAGTGTCGAATTTTTCAAGATTGTGTTTTGTTAATCAGTGCTAACTGTCTAAATTTACAAGATTGTTATCCTGAATACCATGTTTTATCCAATATTGCAAGATTATGTTAAGTTGTAGCTTATGCTTTGTCTAATGTTACAACATTATATTAACTTCAATCTTAGGTTCTGTCAAATGTCACAAGATTACATTAAGCTGAATTTTAGACTGTATTCAATGTTTTACAATTATATTAAGTCAAATCAAAGCCTCCCTGACACTTTGATGAGGTACAAGGTGGAAGAGAAGAAGAAGAAGAAGAAGAATCACAACCTAACTGACCAATGTTTTAAAAGTTTGTTTGACTGAATGTATACTGTCTTGAGATTAAGATTATGTTAATTCATAGCTACTTGCACAACGATTCAAGAGTATAACTTGAATATAACTTGAATCACTAGTTATTAACTATCCATTGTTTTAAGATATATGACCTGTTTTATAAATACACCGGGGGGAAAAAAAAAACAGTTAACGGAGCAGAAGCACAAAGAGATCATCCTGGTTTGAGGAGAAATGTGCAGAAGAGAGTGACCAGCAGGTCTGTCCAACCCTCAAAACTCAGAGGAATGGTGAGATGGACATACAATCAGACTGCTACCAGGTCCACCAGAAGTGGAACTGCTCTGGCTGCTGATGCTGGGGATGGAGTGCTTATGGGAAATTCCTGAATGCTATGCTGTTAGTTCTTAACTCAACTCAACTCTTGTAAAAAGAAATGATATGTTATATTATGACAATCAATATCATTGCATGCTGGATATCCCCACGTGTGCTCAGTCCTATGATGCAGCAGCCACCCAAAGGTACCTCTACTAACTGTTGTTTTAGCATCTCCTATACTAGACAACACAGATGTGCTTGATCTAAATTTACTCTCAGGCCACGCAATCGTGTTAGCATCAGAGTTTAATGTCCACCAACCTAGTCCTTTATTGTGCTGACGATATTAGATCTGTCCATGCTTTGTCCTGTGTGGATTGGTGTTTTACCCACAAGTTGTTCAGCTCATTCATTACATTTTACTCCTGCATGCATAACAAGAAATGACCCTACCTGCTGGTTGTCCAGTGTTTTCCCAAAGCGTGCCACAGTTCAATCTCCTTTGAGGTCAGACAGTTCAGGAGAAGCTGTTTGGCATCTCCAGTTATCACTGGAGCCACAGCCTGGTCCCCGAGGTTCTGGTTGCCATGGTAAGGATCCCGGCTGGCCTCGTAGATTAAGGACAGGGGCGTGAACAGGAAGTGAACCAGTTCAGGTGCATTTGGATCATGGATGTGAGCCTTCAGTTTAGCCTGTTGAATGAGGTTAGAGTGTATGCAATTAATTAGGCTCATCTTGAACTGTCCACGAACTCTTAAATAAATTAAATGGCTCGGGACAGATAACTAAAGCAGTATGATTAAATCTTCTTCTGCGTCTGCCTGAAAGAGGCGGTTGGCAGGCAGTGTTGTGGTTTAGAGTTAGATTGTGATATCTGTATCTTTTGGCCCATAACATACATGATTTCAGCAAGCTCTTAGTCATCATTTACATCATTCTTGCTAGGGGCAGTGAGTCTTATCAACCCCCCACCCCACCCCCACCCTAGAATCCAGGCAGAGATGATAAACAAATTGACTCATACTGACTTGTACTCATATCCTTCTGCCTCTACTTCGTTCCTCTTTTTTTAGTAGTCTCATCTCATCATGCTTTTCTTGTACCTTGCGGTGTCGAGGTGAAGTATAATTTAAGGGAAAGGGCCTGTTTGTGTGCTCCATTAATTGGGATTGCCATGGACTCTGTAATACCCTCTGTCTATCGCTTGCATGGTCAGCCTCTTCTTCGCATCCAGCCTGATCTGTACATCATTGCCTGCTGTGGTATACTGTCTGGTCTGGTCTGGTAGTCTGGTAGTCTTAGTTTCAGCTTCATAGCAAACGGGTTGCCCCATCTTTGCTCCGCTCCTGTGCCAGCGAAAAACACTCAGAATGTCTATCACAGCCCCTTGTGGAAAGATTGACAGACTGCTGTCTCAGCATATCTAGCATACACTCGCATTAAAGCATATGGTAGCCATCCGAAGTGCTAACATAAACAGTCCAACATTAGAAATGCAGTTCATCATTGATGATAGCAGATAGCAGGTATACTGTCTACTGGTGTCTGCGTTATATGACCAAACCATTTCACCTGTTGCATTCTTATGAAATCTAGAGCTGCTGTTATCCCCCCTTTCCTTCGGATTTCATCATTTCTGATTTTATCATTTCTGATCTTATCTTTTCTTGTTATATTGAGAGCCCTTCACTGGAATCTCATTTCAGTTGTCGGAGTTTTTCTTGTCAGTTGAGACGAGAAAAAGAATTCTAAAAACTATATAAACCCTATATTGATATACAAAAGTGAATCATGGACAGTTAGCAAAAACTTATTTGGAAGCTGCAGAGATGTGGTTTTATAGACAAAAAATGAGAATACCCTGGGCAGATCAACAAATAAATGAAAACGCCTTGAAAAAAACTGACTCACGAAGAGAACTGATTGCCCACATTAGAAAGAGACAATCTATATTCTTTGGTCATGTGGTGAGAAGGAGAAAACTGGAATACATAGTGACAGTAGGAAAGCTGGAGGGGAGGAGAGGCAGAGGGAGACCTAGAGAACAGATGCTGGACAGTCTGACATCATGGCATGGAGGATCATCTGTAGCAGATTTGACTAAAAGTACACGAGACAGAAGGTTGTGGATAGACATGACTACCAAAGTCACATGGCATGGACTTTAAAAAGAAATTTTCTGTTCTCTTTCTCTGTCATTGTCCAGGGCTGGGACTGATAACACAGGGTTGGTAAGAAGATCGTGTCATATAGTCCCTATTGATACATGTTTGTTTCTTAGTATTGGTGCTATTTGCCCTGCGAGTGGTTTGCTTTGTTACATCTGTCATCAATCTCTTCTTCTGTTTTGCCAGCTGATGATTTTATGCTTCATAAGTATTTGAAGTTCTTGGTTTGTTTCACAGGGTGTTTTGTAAGCTGGATATTCATTTGATTTTTCACCGTGATATTTTTGGCATGTCTCAAAGCTAATTAGTTGTCCTTTGCATCTATGAGTGAGAATTAACACACCCACTTAACTATACTGCATAACTATGATAGGGAGGATAAATTTGACAGTTCATAATTCTACAGGTGTTGTTCAGTGCCAGTATCACATATTATAGTGACAAAAATGTTAGGGATACTGGTCAGTGAAGTACTGTTTGGAAATAGAAAGTCTAGAAGAATAAAGATACTGAAGATAGACCGAGAAAAATATCTAATAACCCCTCCCTCCCAACCAAGAGAAGTAGGACAGTATATGAAATCTACATTTTATACAACTGGCCTTTATGTGTTTACACTTTATGTGTACATCTTTTTTAAAATTCACAAATGTGTTCTCATTAGGTAAATAGTTTGTCCCCTCCAGGATTAAAGTTTAAGTGCTGACATCTCAAGGATGAGAATCAAACAGGCACAAATATCGGAAACCCTATTTAACCACACAACATGTTATACTGGGGCCCCAGAGGGTTACAGAGTAATCTGAAGTCCGAACCAGGTTGTGATTAAATTATTTTTTCAATGAAAAGCCATCCTTCATAATTATAAATATAATAAATAAACATTTAAAGAAACAAAAAAGAATTACCCAAATTTGGTGCAAAAATACTGCAACCTTCAAAGAGAAGCTTTGTGTGCACTCACTACAACAAAAATACTGCAACCTTCAAAGAGAAGCTTTGTGTGCGCTCACTACAACAAAAATACTGCAACCTTCAAAGAGAAGCTTTGTGTGCGCTCACTACAACAAAAATACTGCAACCTTCAAAGAGAAGCTTTGTGTGCGCTCACTACAACAAAAATACTGCAACCTTCAAAGAGAAGCTTTGTGTGCGCTCACTACAACAAAAATACTGCAAACAAAGAGAAAACTCACAACACAAAATACTGCAACCTTCAAAGAGAAGCTTTTTGAACGCTCTCACTGGAAAATACTCCAACAAAAAATCACGCTTCTGGAGGTGGTCTAGCTCTTGCATTCAACATTCCGTCTGTGAAGATAAAACCATTATTTGGTCAAACTGATACAGCATTAATAAATAGAGACACTACAACAAAAAACAATAAACTCTCACCAGCAGTTAAAGGATGACAATATAATGTCCACAAAATTACCAGAAAGTGCCACTTCTGTCTGTGAAGAAAAAAACTATTATCAAAATATCAACATGCACATAAAAAAAAGGAACTAATAAATTCGCTATTTGTACCAACTTTGCTCTATTAATGGCAGACATGGACAGTCTAAGAAAAACATGAAAGCAATTTACATGTGAGATGAAAAGTATAAGAAATGCGGTGGGAAAACAAGAAGAGGAAGAGGCAGAATTATCAATAAAGAACTAAGAACAATGGTACGCACAGTCTGGCAAATGATTTCAAAGAACACCAAAGAATCAAACTGTTTGGTCACCTGGTCAGAATTGAACAAAATCAGACATCAGCTAGAGCACACACTACATGAGAACAGCTGGCTACAAGTCAAGAGGCCAACCAAGAAAGAGATGGGTGGAGAGAGTAAAAAAGATACTATAGAAATATGTCATTAACATAAGCTACACAACTAGCAAAAGATAGGAAACTACATCTAATTCCCCTCTGTGAAGCTTTATATGGTAGGACAAAAAGAGGAGAAGGAGAGTTTTTGCAAAAAGAACATTTGCATTCATTTTTAAAAGCCAACTGGTTTATCCCACCCCCCCCCCCCCCTCTTTTCCAATGCTTTTTAGTAAATATATACATATCTGGGCCAACTAAACACTGCACAGGCATGAAAAAAACCTAATAATATTAAACTATGCTTCTCGGAAACAGGTCACTGCCGGCAGACTAGTTTCAGGACTTTTACAAGGACATGGAAATTATGGAAAACCTGGGATTGCGGCTTCTCAGAGAAAAAGTTTTAAAAAATATACTAAAGTGTATAATTTAATTAAACTTCAGCGCTTCCATGGAAATGCCCAATACGCCTGCTGTAAGACCGACATAAGTGACAATTACCTCCAGACTGCTTCTTTTTGTTTTTGGCACCTCTGTCCCTTTTTCTTTTCTCCAGTTCCTTGTATGACTCTGCTGCCTGCTGCAGTCTTGCCACAAACTTCTCTATGTCATCAAAACAGTGGTTGAGTAATTGCTGCCAGAAACACAAGCAACAAATATACAATGAGTTTAGATATACCAAGGGAAACTACTCTCGTATATTAATGCAAGCTGGACATGACTGATACAGGTATTTAGATGGATTCATTTGAACAGGAAGTCATGGACTGTGTTGCAAAGACTTGGGAAAATAAGAATGTGAACAGAAATAAAGAGAAAATAACTGCAGACCGGTTGAGCACTGAGCATCATAGAAGAATAATTGTTAAATAGTTGCAATGGTAACACTGGTCTTGAAATCCCATGCTCTAATTTTGGAAGACCATCCTCAATGCAAATGGGTCTTGCTAGTCACACCCAATATGATAGGCTGTGATTTATAAACCTCCCTATAGCACAGTACAATATTATCGAGAGGAAAGATGGAAAGGTGCCAGCAACACAGTGGTGGATAGGTGAACCAAGAGATATTTCAGATAACTGAGTAAAGTGTCAGAAGGTGGAATGGAGCTGTGTGGTATTTAGAATGTCAGAAGGTGGTACAGAGTGTGTGGTATTTACAGTGCCAGAAGTTGGAGTGGAGCAGTGTGGTATTTATAATGTCAGAAAGTGGAATGGAGCTGTGTGGTATTTAGGATGTCAGAAGCTGGAATGGAGCTGTGTGGTATTTAGGATGTCAGAAGCTGGAATGGAGCTGTGTGGTATTTAGGATGTCAGAAGCTGGAATGGAGCTGTGTGGTATTTAGGATGTCAGAAGCTGGAATGGAGCTGTGTGGTATTTAGGATGTCAGAAGCTGGAATGGAGCTGTGTGGTATTTAGAATGTATGAATGTGGTATCTAAGCTGTTCAGTTCTACCCCAATGTATGAATGTGGTATGCTCTCTGAGTGGGATTAAAATGTCAGATTACTTCAATGGAGCTGTGTGGTCTCTAAGACTTCAGTGCTGGAATGGAGCTGTATACTCTCTGAGTGGGATTAAAAGTGTCCATTACTTCACTTACCACATCCTTCTCTAAGACTTCAGTGCTACCCCGCTCTATACTCTCCCGCTCTCGGAGCGGAGTGACACGTGTTATAAGTGACTGCCGTTGAACCAAGGGCCCACTAAACTGACTCTGCTGGTTGTAAGCAGCTTGGTTGTAGGAAGCCTGGTTGAACTGATGCATCTCTGTAGCAGTGTTGTTGATCTGGTATTGTCTGGAGTCTGAAAAAGGATAAAAGGCAGGAGTGTGTGTATGTAGGAAAATTTAATTTAGGACAAAAATGACAGGGTATATGAGCAGGAGAACTCATTTTGGAAAATGGAGGGGATATACCAGCAGGAGGATTCAGTTTAGAAAAAGGAGGGATATATAAGTAGGCAGATTAAGTTTAGGAAGTGGAGGGATATATATGTAGAAAGATTCAGTTTAGAAAATGGAGGGATATATATGTAGAAAGATTCAGTTTAGAAAATGGAGGGATATATAAGCAGGAGAATTTAGTTTAGAAAATGGAGGGATATATAAGCAGGAGCATTCAGTTTAGAAAATGGAGAGATATATAAGCAGGAGAATTTAGTTTAGAAAATGGAGGGATATATAAGCAGGAGCATTCAGTTTAGAAAATGGAGGGATATATAAGCAGGAGAATTTAGTTTAGAAAATGGAGGGATATATAAGCAGGAGCATTCAGTTTAGAAAATGGAGGGATATATAAGCAGGAGAATTTAGTTTAGAAAATGGAGGGGATATACCAGCAGGAGTATTCAGTTTAGAAAATGGAGGGAAATATAAACAGGAGCATTCAGTTTAGAAAAAGGAGGGATATATAAGTAGGCAGATTAAGTTTAGGAAGTGGAGGGATATATAAGTAGGAAGATTAAGTTTAGAAAAAGGAGAGATATATATGTAGAAACATTCAGTTTAGAAAATGGAGGGATATATAAGCAGGAGAATTTAGTTTAGAAAATGGAGGGACATATAAGCAGGAGCATTTAGTTTAGAAAATTAAAGGATATATAAGAAGAATTTAATTTAGAAAACATTTTTTATTCTTCACCTTCTCTTGAAAAAAAAAATGCATGAAAAGTCTGTTGCTATGTTCTCTTGTAGTTTACAGCTAGCCTTACGGCCCAACACATCTGATTTCAGCAAATCTTTAATTAGTGACAGACTATAAGTGCTAACTTCTTCTTCTTCTTCTTCTGCCTTTCTCCAAAGATGTAACTGCATTGTGCCTGTTTACAGCATGGCTGTGATATTTGTGCTTTTCAGCCAACACATCTGACTTCTGCAGGCATTTGTTAACCAGGTTAGCCTTTCAAGCCTTACAATACAGCCCACTTCCACTAAAACTGTAATCACAGCTAAAATACTTTAAGACACGAGGTAAAAAATACTACTACAAACTCATAAGATAATTTGAGCTCATTCTTTATAACATTCGTTTCACATGAACAGTATATTACCAATGAACTCCCTCATTCCTTGGAAGTTGTATGCTTTACTGGCCGCATCTGATGCTAGTGCTCCTGTAGGGGGCAACACTCGTGGCCTGCAATGGCAAATGGAAAAAAAAATGCTGAAACAGTGTCATGTTGTGTCATAATGTAAAAAAAAAAAAAGATTAAAGTCGAGAAAATCTACTTCACTGCACCAGGTTTTAACCTGTGTGGCTCAATCTCTGCAGAATGGCCAGCTGCCTACAGATAGCGCCACACAGAAAATAAACTCTGTAGCTCCACTGAGGATCCTCAGGGATCTACGTAAACACTGCACTCATGATCTCAAGGGCACAGTGGTAAAATGAACCCACGAACTTGAGAGCGCGAGGAAAATGGCTTGACCCCTTCACCAACCCCCTTGCCATTATGTGTCTTATAGGACTGGCTATCTATTATTCTATTCCATTTATCCTGTGCAGTTATTTCAATATCTTAAATGGAATCCAGTCCACATCTCTGGCCTCTCTCAACAATGTTTGTCTAACTGTCTCTCTCTCTCTCTGTGCGTGTGCGTATGTGAGTGTGTGTGTGTGTGTGTGTGTGCGTGTGTGTGTGGGTATGTGGTGGGGGGGGGGGGATGTCCCTGTTTTCTCATTTCAATTGTTTCCCCTTTAAGGGTGCTTTTCTTTAGGTGCTTCTCTGTTCTCCTTTACTCAGCATGTGTTGGTTATACCACCATCTTCTTTGTCTTTTCAATGCTGCTGCTAGCAGCCATCCAGATATTTCTCTGATTTTTGGGTCTGTCATGAATTCATCATCATTTAATGTTTGTCAATTTCTTTAGGCTTTTTTTTCAAATGCCTTTAACTTTCACGCTATGTCTGGTTTTTCTCAAATTTTTAACAGAACATGTTAAAAATATTAATCAGAAATATTATAAGAAATAAAAAAACATGCAAGCTGATTTTAAAACTATATAACATGGAATTCCCTATTTTGTCCAGGATTTTAAAACTATATCATTTACAGTTGCACACTTTATTCATGCTTTAAAAACTATATCATTTACAGTTGCACACTTTATTCATGCTTTAAAAACTATATCATTTACAGTTGCACACTTTATTCATGCTTTTAAAAACTATATCATTTACAGTTGCACACTTTATTCATGATTTAAAAACTATATCATTTACAGTTGCACACTTTATTCATGCTTTAAAAACTATATCATTTACAGTTGCACACTTTATTCATGCTTTAAAAACTATATCATTTACAGTTGCACACTTTATTCATGCTTTAAAAACTATATCATTTACAGTTGCACACTTTATTCATGCTTTAAAAACTATATCATTTACAGTTGCACACTTTATTCATGCTTTAAAAACTATATCATTTACAGTTACATTTTGTTTCGTGCTCATTTAAAAAAAACCCTCACCATACACTTATTTGTTACCCCACATGCAGTATTCATTTTTAATCTTCTGTAATCCCATTCTGCAGTAATGATTATTTATTACTCTGACTTTTCCTGTCCCATGACTGTATTCTCTATATCCCTGTGGATTCTGATTTTTCATTTTTGGGGGAAAAAAGAATAAATCCACTGCCTCCCCTCCCCCCTTCCTTCCAACACGCATGTCCCAAAAGGTGACTAATGGGAAAAGGGGGAGGGTTGTTTCTTTTGAAGTCAGAATGCATTTGCCTGAAAGATAAGGAATTACTTAAGTACTGAAGTGAGATCAATATCCAGAAGTGGATGAACCACCAGTATATTCTGTCAGAGTTTATGGTCTAGTAAATAAACACTAACAATGAATAAACAAACATTATTTTTAAAGGGTTACAAATCTGGCATGCAGACCCATCTTATATTCGAAGCTACTCTATAGTAACAAGATTTGTGACAGAAACTGATGAAATAATAGAAAGAGTTAAATGGCAAACAAATGTTTTGACTGTTGCTTTGTTAATATTTAAAAGATAAGTTGTTTTAAGAAAAGGTGTGACTTCGCTGCATTAGATATTAGGCCAAAAAAGTAATTTTTTGTTTGTTTTTGTTTCAGCAGAGAGGCTTTTTTTCCAGTTGAGAACATCACACAAAGCACGGAGTCCAAATCCATGATCTTCAGTACACAAGGCAAACAGCTTAAGCAATTTACCATGTTTTTAGGAGGTTCAGTATGTGTATGTGTGTGTGGAAGGTGGGGGGTGAGTGTGTGTGTGGGTGTGAGCATGTATGCATGTATGTGTTTGTGTGTGTGTTTTAAATAAATAAACTCATTCCAAGAAAGTAAAATAATTTAATTTCATGCTGATGAATCTTAAATGATGTGAAGGTTTTACAAAGTTTGGTTAAGATTTTCACCTTCTCTGTGATTTATCATTTACAATAGTCAACACGAAGCCTTTACTTTAATGCAATGAATTTACTGTATTTCATGGAAACAAAAACAAATAAAAGAGTGACTGAAAATGAAAAGGTAACCAATGAAAAACCAGAAAAAAAGACAGAAAAAATTATTATTATGCACTGAATGAGTCAATCAATTAATCAAGAACAAATATCCCTGCACCCAGAAATTCCTGCCGGTATTCCCTCTCCCCCCTTTTCCTCACTGAAGAATATCTCATAGATATGGACACACTGTTCTTTTGCACTGTCCAAATGATCTCAGAGAGCTTTCACCAAGTCAGCGTTATCATAAAATAGCTCTCCACCCAGAGGAGCAGCAGCCAATCTAACAGCCTGCTAATTACCACTCACACCTAAAATTTCCCAGATCGAAGATCTATGATAGGCTTCTAATATGAGTCAGCCTGCTATCTATGCATGGAACACCAGTTTTTATTTTCCAAAGCAAGCTGCACACCTAAAAAAAAAGTAAAGGATTTCCACCCTTTAGGACCGAAGATCTACCTGATTTTTATGCTCGGCATAAATGGGTGAGCCTTTCTCATGAACTGCGTACCCACTCAAGGCTGGGTCAATCTAGGTCTCTATGAAACATAGAGGAAGCGAACCCAGTTTTTATTCCGATCCAAAGCAAGCTGTGTCCACTGATATATTTACACTCTTATAAAAACACGCTGGATGGAAAAGCTGAAGGTTATAGCCATAAATTGAAACCCATGGAAAATATCTTCTGTCAACTGACATTTCTTTGTGTTGTGTCAACATATTCCAGTTGAATTATTGTTTTAGCTAGCAGTGTACTCACTCGCCTCCCTGAGGCAGCCGCTGCTGCCCACTTTTTGCTGCCAGAATTTCATCAACAATTTCTTGTGCCTGTTGTTGAAATAGAATATAATAATTAAAAAACAATTAAACTGTTAGTTAGTTAGTTAGTTAGCTGAGTTATCATCATTGTACTTTGGAGATGTCCATAGGTGCTCAGATCCTCCCCCCAGTATGAACTCCCAACATCTGGTGGCTAAAAGTACCAGTTCTATGTTGGTTAACAAGTCATCTGATGTGTGTCATCTTTTTTTTAGCTATGCTGATCTTAACTCCAAAGTCTATTGTTTTGGTGACTGATGTGGAGTCACTGCTCCCAAAGTCTTCCGCCCAATTCCCATTTCTTGGAAGGCATTAATAATTTCAGCATGATTTATACGCTGACAGTCGGTTGTGAATTTAAAATGTTTCAAATTAAATTTTGTTAATCAGTAAATGTTTCACTTAAAAAGCTTATTATCTCACATAAATATATTGAAATCCTGAGATGTTCTGTTTCAAACACCACTGATTCCCTGCTTGTACTCTCCCCTTTATTAAAAGTATGCTTTCTGAATTATGTAGATCAGCATATTACTCTTCCTATATTGGCGCCTTTGGCTTAAGCGTTGCAAATGCATTTCGTAATCGCCCGGGTGCCGAGTTTGACTCCAGCTGCGGGCCTTGCGCTGGTTTCGACAGTGGTATCAAGAAGCCGACCATCCAGAAAGCAATGACAAACTACTAGACATAAACTTGCCAAGAAAAACCACAACAGCCAAAAAATGCTGGGATTGGTTTTTGCAACCTCCTGGAAAGGATACGCAACTAACTACTTCTACCACATGATGTTGAGGAAAATAGGTTCTTCAAAACTCTTGAACATTCATCATCATCATCATCATCATAATCATCATCAGGTGCCTTGTAAACTTGAAAATCATACAACTTTTGAAATCTGGCCACACTGTACAGAAGGACAATGCATTCGAAATTCTGCATACTTCAAATAGTCACTGAATGCTTCACAATGTGGAAGCCACAACAGTAAACTGCTTCCATCCAGATTTATGCAGACAGAAGGACAAGGGTTATGAACCTGCCTTACCCTGGTAAAACAGGCAGTTACTTTTGAATGTGTTTCAGTTAGAAGGATTCATTTATTTGGTTCATTTTAATCAACTGTTATTGTGGTATGCACCTGATGAAATACAATGAAATACGCCAGGCAATAAATTTACAATCTATTTACTCTTTGTGGAAGTCGCTATGGTGTAGTGGCTGGACGCTCGCCTGTGGATCGGAAGGTCTTGGGTTCAGGACCTGACGAGACAGATTTTGTTTCTCCAAAATTACCACGGCTCTAGGTCGACCAAGCTTTGAGTGGGTACGAGGTACAAGTCCTGGGAAGTAAAGGCTGCCGGCGTAATGCTGACCACATCACCCATCAATTGTTGACTGCTCTATAAAACTTAGGTCTAGCCCTATATGCCCAATACATCTGAAGGCGTGGAAAAATGTCCTTCACTTGTATATTTTGTTTGTGCCTTCTTTGTTAAAATTCACAATGGGGAAACATTGCTTTGACTGAAAATTGTACTTCTTTACACCTTTCAATTTCCAACAGTGAATGTTATGTAGCAGTTGTCCATGTTCCACATCATTATGAAGCAATCTCCCACACTGTATATCATGTAGCAATCTGCACTGTTGCCTGACATATGGCAATCTCCCACACTGTATATCATGTAGCAATCTGCACTGTTGCCTGACATATGGCAATCTCCCACACTGTATATCATGTAGCAATCTGCACTGTTGCCTGACATATGGCAATCTCCCACACTGTGTATCATGTAGCAATCTGCATCTGCCTGGCATTGCAATCTCCCACACTGTATATCATGTAGAAATGCACTGTTGCTGACATATGGCAATTCCCACACTGTATATCATGTAGCAATCTGCATGTGACATATGGCAATCCCAGGCCATATCATTAGCAATCTGCTCTGCTGCCTGACATATGGCAATCTCCCACATGTATATCATGTAGCAATCTGGCAATCTCCCACACTGTATATCATGCAATCTGCACTGTTGCCTGTCATATGGCAATCTCCCACACTGTATATCATGTAGGCACTGTTGCACATATGGCAATCTCCCACACTGTATATCATGTAGCAATCTTCACTGTTGCCTGACATATGCAATGACTGTATATCATGTAGCAATCTGCACTGTTGCCTGACATATGGCAATCTCCCACACTGTATATCATGTAGCAATCTTCACTGTTGCCTGACATATGGCAATCTCCCACACTGTATATCATGTAGCAATCTGCACTGTTGCCTGACATATGGCAATCTCCCACACTGTATATCATGTAGCAATCTGCACTGTTGCCTGACATATGGCAATCTCCCACATATGGCAATCTCCCTGTTGCCTGACATATGGCAATCTCCTACACTGTATATCATGTAGCAATCTGCTCTGTTGCCTGACATATGGCAATCTCCCAGGCAGCCTCATTAACCTCATTCTAGTAAAACACACAGCAATATGAACTTACAGGAGCCCTGCTGCTCTGGAATATGTGCATGTCTGCTTGTGGAGACCGCTTCTTTGGATCGTCGACGATGGTGAACAGGATCAGGTTGTTATAGATCTCTCTGTGATCATTCTTAAATATGGCTGTCGGATCCTGCACCAGCTGGATGGGAAACTTCTCCAGTTCTTCCTACAAGATTCAGAAGAGATTACAATAATCCATATGATTACAGTAAACAAAAAGAATTGGTTTTGTGGTCACAATTAACTCTTTTAGTTCTGAATGGGTGTTAATTTAATTCACTCTATCGAGAGTAGAGTGTTGCTGTAATCAATAAATTTGTGGGTCTGAAAAGTTAAAGCAGTAACATTGAGACAAAAGGAGTTAAAATAAATTGGTGCAGAGTTAAATCAACCATTGGTGTAGAGTTTAAATAGTAATAAAATGAGACAAAATGGTCTAAATTGGCAATTTGTGTACAGTTGAAATATTATCAACATGAGACAGAAGGTCTTCGTGTAACAATTTGTGTAGAATTAAAATAACAGTATGAGACTGAAGAAGTTAAAGTAACAATCTGTGCACAGCTAAAATAGTAACAATATGAGACTGAAGCCTTAAAGTAACAATCTGTGCAGAGTTAAAATAATAATAATATGAGACTGACTGGATTAAAGTAGCAATTTGTGCAGAATTAAAATATTAATAATATGAGACAGGAATTAAAGCAAGAATGTGTGTAGAGTTAAACTATTACCAATATGAGACAGAAGGAGTTAAAGCATGAATGTGTGCAGAGTTAAACTAATATTAAAATGAGACATGAGTTAAAGTAACATCTTATGAGGACTTGTTTAGTGTAACAGACTGGTGGGGTACAGACAGCTAAGTGAAGTATATAACATCAGAGATAACAACCAACAGAGACACAGCGATTTGCCCAGTACTGAGTTCAGTTAAAAGAAGTTGTCAACCCACATCTCAGCACTCAGGACACTCCCATGAGCACTGGTTGTTTAAAAAATAAATGGAAACTGGAGTGAAACAAGGCTACATTCTGTCTCCCTTATTGTTTGGAGTAGCCACTGAATGGGTAATGGAAAGATATCACAAAGGCAACTGGTATTGATTGGGTAGAGAACAGACAACTGAAAGATCTGGATTTCATAGCCGATATTGTTCTGAAAAATAAGGAAATGGAGAAGAAGGAAAAAGATAAGAAGAAGGAGGAGGAGGATAAAAAGAAGAAGCAGCAGCAGTAGAAGCAGAAAAAGGAGGAGAAGAGGTAGAAAGAGGAGGAGAAAAGAGAAAGAAGAGAAGGAGGAGGAGAAAGAGAAGTAGAAGGGGAGGAGAAAAAAAAGTAGAAGATAAAGGAGGAGAAAGAGGAGGTGAAGGAGAAGAAGTAGAAGTAGAAGTAAAAGGGTAATGAGAAGGAGAAGAAGTAGAAGGAGGAGGAAAAAGAGAAGAAGTAGAAGGAGGAGAAGGAAAAGAAATAGGAGGAGGAGGAGAAGAAGTATAAGGAGGAGGAGGAGGAGAAGTAGAAGGAGGAGGAGAAGAAGTAGAAGGAGGAGAAGAAGAAGGAGGAGGCAGAGGAGGAGGAGAAGGAGAAGTAGAAGGAGGAGAAGTAGAAGTAGAAGGAGGAGAAGTAGAAGTAGGAGGAGGAGAAAGAGAAGAAGTAGAAGTAGGAGGAGGAGGAGAAGGAGAAGAAGTAGAAGGAGGAGGAGAAGGAGAAGAAGTAGAAGGAGAAGGAGAAGGAGAAGGAGAAGAAGTAGAAACAGGAGGAGAAGGAGGAGGAGGAGAAGTAGACGGAGGAGGATAGGAAAAGGAAGAAGTAGAAAAAGCAGAGGTAGAAAAAAATAAGCAATAGAAGAAAAAATTAAAAAGTAGAAAGAATGAATGTTTAACTATGAAACAATTTTCCTTGCTGTAGTCCCACCATAACTAGTATTTTATTCCCCCGCCCCTTCCCCAAAAAAAAGAAGTCAGTTTGCTGAATGGGTCACAAGTGAAACCAACAGAGCCAGGTAGAGGTGCTTGGTACTACAGGAGTTGATTATACAAGTTTCTACCTGCATTCCTTCTCTAGTAGCTCTTATTCTTCAGTTAATCCCACAACCAACACCAGCATTCTTTGGCTGTTGTGATCTGTCTAGGCACATTTTTACATTTACTAGTTTGCCATTGCTGTCTGAGTAGTCAGCTTTTGTTACCTCTGTCGAAACCAACGCAGGATGGACTGCTTCCAAATCGTCCAAATCTGCGATCGAACCCGCCATTTTGAAATGCGTTGGCAATGCCAAAATCATAGATGCCGAAAGTTCTTTTTCGAATAATAAGGTTCAAAATTGCTTTGTTTTCCAGGGTGTCTCATAAGATTACATTCATTCATTCATTCATTCATTCATTATCCTGTTGTGCCATTATATGTCAGTCTTGGCTCACAGTCTATTCCTCCATTGCCTGCTGCTATACTGTGCAATCAGTTCTCATGGATGTAGTCCAGTCCAACAGCTTTGGCCTCTCTCACCAAGGTTCAACTTAGGGTTTCTTTCGGGCGTCCTCGCCCCCTTAATCCCTTTATCTCCTATTTTAATGCCTGTGGGATTCTCTGTTAGCTTCTTCTCAGAATATGTTCAATGTAGCACCATCTTCTGTGTCTTGTAAATGTTGACACCAATGGTTGTTAAGATATTTCTCTTATTTCTTCATTCCTTTTGAATTCATCCCAATTTTATTTCCATTATTTTCCTCAGACATCTGCTTTCAAATGCATTCCTCCGAAGAGCTTCCATATAAATAAAAAAGAATTTAAAAAAATAAAAAAACATTTTTAAAAATATAATACGCTCAACATCACTACTACTGTTTTGAAAACACATTTCAGAGTGTGTATTCCCTGCTAAAAAACATGTATAAGCACTGCTGAAGGTATGCCGTTGGCTATAACGTTAATTCTGCCTCTGTATGGATACTTATGAGATACCCTGTTGATAATTATTATGCAAGAACAAAGCCGGTAATGTAAGACACTTACATGGCAATTTGGTGTGCTGTGGGAGAACTAGCACACAGACCAGGCTACACTAGTGCAGTATAAGGTAATTAAACAAAACAACAACAAAACTCTGTCTTTGCAGACTAGATTCGGATAGCAGTCATCTTCTAAACAAAGGCTGACAGAAATGATTTCTAGCAGTATCTGCTAGGCCAAGATGGTATAACACCCTCAACCAACTGAATCTCATGATGTTGTGCTCCCCTCTTGTTATTCTCATGTTATAATCCATCTCCTCCCCCATTTTTTTGTTTTTTTTAGACTAATTTAATAATAATATCCTTCTTAGTTAATCTCATGATATTATCCTCCCTAATGAATCTCATAATGTTATCCTCCCTAATGAATCTCATGATATTATCCTCCCTAATTAATCTCATGATATTATCCTCCCTAATTAATCTCATAATGTTATTGCCACATCTCCTTTGGAGTTAATCTCTGGATGTTATCCTCCCCTTCAGTTGATTTTCTCATTATACTTTTCACAGTTAATCATATGATGCAATATCAACAACGCCATTTCAGATTTAGTCTCAATGTGTTATCCTTCCCATTTAATCTCAAGATGTTAGTATTCTCACCAGTTAACCTTAGGATGCTATCATCCCCAGTTAATCTCATGATGTTATATCCACCCACTTCACCCCAACCTTCATTCACATCAATCTCATGCTTTCCATCCCAGTTAATCTCATGATGTTATCTGCTCTTCAAGTTCACCTAATGATGTTACTGCACTCTCCCATTCAGAGTTAATCTTAGGATAATAACCTCTTTTTTAAGTTAGTCTCCTGATGCCACTCTCCACAACCCTATTTTTGAGTTACTCTCATGATGTTATCCTTCCCATTTTAATCTCATGATGTTATCCTGACCAGGTTAATCACATGATGTTATACCTCTCTCGCCCCATGTTAATCACAAGATGTTGTCTTTCCCCATAAATTGTATAATGTTATCTTCCATACCTAAAATCATGATGTTATTCTTCCCCTCATCAGTGCACACAGTCAGGTGTAAATCTTCATGCATGTGTGTGGGTGTGTGCATGTATGTGTGTAACGTTTACTTGATAATTTGTATGTGTGTTAATGTAAAGATATCTACATTCTGGCCATTTCATTGTGTCCATATAAACAAAACACCCCAACATCTTCTTCTCCTTCTCTCTTGGCCCTTACTAGGGTTAGTGGCAGTGCACTGCAGACAGTGTGTGAGCAGACCAGCTGACAAGCAATGCACCAACGCATGTGGGGGGAAAGGCATGGACAGAGCAGATATCATCAGCGCTGTATAGAGTAGGCTGGTGGAGAACAACAAGTCTCTGACACTAACACGATTGTGTGACATGGGAATAAAGCATGGCAAAGCATGTTTATGCTGCGTTTGAGGCTGAGATAGGAGACATTATAACTAACTTCTCATGGGAACAATTAGTAGAAGCACCTAAGAGTGGCTGCTGCATCGGAGGACTGAGCATGCATGGAAATGCATAATGTGCACTGATGATTGTGATAATATAACATAACAGTGTGTTTTGGTTTAAGCAAGGCTGTTTAATCTGTGCTTTTTGACCAAGCATATATGATTTCACCAAAAACCTAATTTTTAGTCACATTTTACCACACACTTGTTAAAAAGGCCTGCTTCTGAGACCCCAAAAATGGGGTCTCGGAACCCACACAGAAACCCCACCTTATCTTTCAACTTACCCCTGTGCTATTATCCACAATGACTAGGTGGTTTCTCTCCACTATCAGAATACATCTCATTGACCAGATGCCTGTCGTATTCTCCATCTGTCGCAGCTTCCGTAACCCATCCTCTGCATGGATAACTCCATTCCTGGCTCCAGCGGAAAATGTTGCCAAATGATCTAACTCAAACTTCGGCTCGCTGCTTCTGAAGTCTGAAAGACTACTTTGATCTGGAGAATAAAAAAAATGTCATAGCACTCGGGACACACCCATAAGCGCTCCCTCCCTATCTTCAGCAGCAAGCAAAGAGATCCAATTCGGATGGAAAAAATGTTAGTTGCTAGTCCTCTTCAGGGCTTTGTAAATCAACCTCAGCATTTATATGCTAGAGTGAGCAGTGATGTGTTGACACTAAACCTAGAGCTCACCTACACTGGACAGATCCTGCTGATTTTGCTCCATGTGGTTGTAATGCACCAAAGCAAACTCCAGAGCATCTATTAAAAGACCTTCCCATGTCAATTCCAGGACCCCATTTTAGGGAAAACAAAAATAGACCAACTGCCTCCCCAACAAGCATTTCGTAAGAGTAGACAAATTCAGGGTTTCCTTCAAAGTGGGAGTACATCTGCCTGAGACCCAAGGAACCAACAGTCTATCCATTTCTTATCAGCATACAAACAAGTCAGATCTGTAAAACAGATGTGTATACAATAGTCAGGGTCTGAAACAAGTCTACAGTCCAGATGTGGATGAACAACCAGTTCTTTCTGCCGGAGTTTACAGTCGGTGAAGGCCAAGGAAAAGAAGATTAAAAGACCACCCAGACTTTGCCAGTCCGAAAGAAAAAAATCTGGCCCATAGGATAGACTGTAGAAGACAGCCACTTCTTTACACAAAAATATCCACTAGGTACATTATGAAACTTAAAAATGAAGGAAAAGGGATGTTCATATTGTACATCATGCACATTAAACCTATTTTACTGCCATAACTTAAGAAGTCTAAGTACCAGATCCACTCCCCCAGAACTGAAGGGAAATATAACTGCCAATGGTTACATATTTGGTAAAAAAAAAAAAACATCAACTGTCCCAAGTTATAAAAACCAGCACTTCTGTCATGAGTTAAAAGGAAACTAGGGGCTGTGGTAGGGCAGTGGCCAGACTGCCTCTTGACCCTAAGTTGCTAGTTCAAATCTGAAGCAAGTTGGACTGATATAACTGACATGAGGTTCAGGCTAAACCCAACCCTAAACTGGGTTCCAGGAAATTACCTCGGAAGCAAAGATAGCTAGCACAATACTGACCATATCTAGCACTGGGTGCCATTATAAAAATATGTATTTAACACTTTATGTCCAATGCTCTGAAAAGGGTACTTTAAAAAAAAAAATGTATTTGTATATTCTTTACCAGACATTGCAGAATCAGCCCCAGCATTGTTTTGGCAGTTTTATTGGGAAACGTTCATTCAGTAGATTACCACGGTTCATAATTGGTCAGCACTCCATGCCACTGTAACAATTATTGCAAAGTGGTAAGCTGCCAAATCACCAGAAAATGAAACTGGCTTTTAGAACTTGTGTTTTGAGGACAGCCAGAAAGAGCAACCAAGAGGTTTTTTAAAAAGCGGGAGCCCCAAGACAACTTATCACAGACATCAGAAGGAGACAGTCATCATTTTTCGGCCATGTTATGAGAAGAGGGAATATAGAGCATGTTGTGACCACTGGAAAGATCTGTGGAAGGAGGGATAGAGGAAGACAACAAGAGAAGATTCTTGACAGTCTCGTTTGCATGGCATGGAGGTGTGTCAGCATACAAACCTATACAGTCGGAGGAGATTGCAGATTGTGGAGAGGCATGATCGCCCAAGCCAGTCACCAAGGCACCTGATGATGATTTTAGAATTGTAAAGCTTGTTCACATCACCCATCCTAGACGTGCAGACTTTAAAAAAGAAGGCTACTGAAAAGCTGACTATAATTACAACACCCTTTTTCCCTAAGACAAAGAATCTAATTACTTTAGGACAGATCCATAAACCAGGGTGTTCAATTTCATGTGCATGTGTTGAATTTCATGTGCATGTGTCTGTCTGCTTCTAAACTTACCCCTTCAATTAAAGGATCACTGAATGTTTTAACAGCAGGGTGCATGTTTGTTAGACAGACAAGTAAGCTGATTAAATATGATTGCTGTCTATAGTTTTTTCTATCTTCAGCTTTAACTCTTTCCTTCTCAAGATACACACTGTGTAGTCAGCTACTGACTGCCAGTAATTATTTTTATGCATGTAACATCAGTCCTTGCAAAGCAGCAAACATGATGGAGATCCAAATACATTTTATGGAAAACTAAGATCTGATTGCTCAGAGCAAAGATACAAGCATTAGAAATGCGATGTTTCAGAAAAATTCTTGGCATATGATACAGAGACCATATTACAAACGAAGAGGTTCACCATAAAATTATACAGCACAATGGCAACTATGAATCTCTTTTAACTACAGCGAAAAGACGAAAAATGATATGGAGATGTAAATAAGATCTAACGGCCTCTCAAAAACAATACTGCAGAGCACATTAGAGGGAAAGAGCAGAAGAGGCAGATCAAGAAAGACCTTGTTACAGAACCTGACTGGCTGGACAGGCCTCAGGCATGCAACAATGAAGTCCGTCACAACTAACCGCCAGAGATGGACAGAGCTGATCAGACAGTCAGCCGAAATTGGTGACCTAACGGCACGTAGCGTTACATAATGATGATGATATTTTTATGTAGTTATCACTCTCATTAAACAACAGAAAAAGAGTACTGAAATTTTATATCGAGCCTGTTCTGCTTGATGGTAGTGAATCTTGGAATGTAAGCAAATAAATTAAGAAGAGTTTGGAGGCAACTGAGATGTGGTTCTTGAATAGAATGGTGCAAATTGCTTAGACTGCCAGAATAACTAACAACCAATGCCTGGAAAGTGCAAATGAAAGTACAACATTATATACAACAATGAGAAGGAGACAAACAAAGGTTTTTGGTCATGTAATGAGAAAAGGAGCCCTGGAAAATATCATGACGACTGGAAAGATCACTGGTAGAAGAGGCAGAGGCAGACCAAGAGAATGGTGGTGGATGACTTAAGACAGTAACATGGAGGAATATCATCAGTGAAATTAATCTTGAATAACAAAGGCCGAGATATGTGGAGATGCATGAACGCCTGTACCAGCTGGCAAGACACTTGATGATGATGATATCTGGGGAGGAGTGGACATCTCAATTTATGGCCTACAATGGATCAAGCACTCGACCAGAAGAAGTAGTCTGTGTTGATGCTTACTGTCTTTAATGTCATCAATCCATCCTTTTCTTTTACATCAGCCCCTTTTGTTGTGTGGGTGCGGTGCCTATGTTAGTGGTAGTTGCTGTTGCTGAAAACCTAAAGATGACCAAACCATTTGATCTTCTAATTCTCAGCTAAACTAGTACAACATGTTCCAACAGTCTGACAGCATAATTTCTCCCTCACCTCAGTCTCGGACGATTAAGATGTCAGCATGCCTGAGGCATCTCATCTCACAGGTGTTAATTTAACATAGGTTAGCCTTTGATACTGTCTGGTTTGGCACAATTTACACAGTTCTAGTATGAATATGCTTCTGGTTTGGCACAATTAACATAGTTCTAGTATGAATATGCTTCTGGTTTGGCACAATTAACATAGTTCTAGTATGAATATGCTTCTGGTTTGGCACAATTAACATAGTTCTAGTATGAATATGCTTCTGGTTTGGCACAATTAACATAGTTCTAGTATGAATATGCTTCTGGTTTGGCACAATTAACATAGTTCTAGTATGAATATGCTTCTGGTTTGGCACAATTAACATAGTTCTAGTATGAATATGCTTCTGGTTTGGCACAATTAACATAGTTCTAGTATGAATATGCTTCTGGTTTGGCACAATTAACATAGTTCTAGTATGAATATGCTTCTGGTTTGGCACAATTAACATAGTTCTAGTATGAATATGCTTCTGGTTTGGCACAATTAACACAGTTCTAGTATGAATATGCTTCTGGTTTGGCACAATTAACACAGTTCTAGTATGAATATGCTTCTGGTTTGGCACAATTAACACAGTTCTAGTATGAATATGCTTCTGGTTTGGCACAATTAACACAGTTCTAGTATGAATGTGCTTCTGGTTTGGCACAATTAACACAGTTCTAGTATGAATATGCTTCTGGTTTGGCACAATTAACACAGTTCTAGTATGAATATGCTTCTGGTTTGGCACAGTTAACACAGTTCTAGTATGAATATGCTTCTGGTTTGGCACAATTAACACAGTTCTAGTACGAATATGCTTCTGGTTTGGCACAATTAACACAGTTCTAGTACGAATATGCTTCTGGTTTGGCACAATTAACACAGTTCTAGTACGAATATGCTTCTGGTTTGGCACAATTAACACAGTTCTAGTACGAATATGCTTCTGGTTTGGCACAATTAACACAGTTCTAGTATGAATATGCTTCTGGTTTGGCACAATTAACACAGTTCTAGTATGAATATGCTTCTGGTTTGGCACAATTAACACAGTTCTAGTATGAATATGCTTCTGGTTTGGCACAATTAACACAGTTCTAGTATGAATATGCTTCTGGTTTGGCACAATTAACACAGTTCTAGTATGAATATGCTTCTGGTTTGGCACAATTAACACAGTTCTAGTATGAATATGCTTCTGGTTTGGCACAATTAACACAGTTCTAGTATGAATATGCTTCTGGTTTGGCACAATTAACACAGTTCTAGTATAAATATGCTTCTGGTTTGGCACAATTAGCACAGTTCTAGTATGAATATGCTTCTGGTTTGGCACAATTAACACAGTTCTAGTATGAATATGCTTCTGGTTTGGCACAATTAACATAGTTCTAGTATGAATATGCTTCTGGTTTGGCACAATTAACATAGTTCTAGTATGAATATGCTTCTGGTTTGGCACAATTAACATAGTTCTAGTATGAATATGCTTCTGGTTTGGCACAATTAACATAGTTCTAGTATGCATATGCTTCTGGTTTGGCAC